GCAATGTAGATTTAAAATGTAATTAATATACATAAATATCACTGCACTATGGCCTGCAAAGGAAAACCATACCGCTCCAGTGAATCTAATCAAAACATTAGAAATACAAGTTATGGAACAGACCACATCTTTAATTAGAGAATTCCCAACCCAGTTTCAGGTACATTGGTACTGATTTTCTATTCCCTTTCATGAGACAGGCATGCTTTTAAGGCCTTGGCTACACTTACCCGGTAGTTCGGCGGCGAGCGATCGAACTTCTGGGTTCGACTTATCGCGTCTAGTCTGGACGCGATAAGTCGAACCCGGAAGTGCTCGCCATCGACTGCGGTACTCCAGCTCGGCGAGAGGAGTACCGCGGAGTCGACGGGGGAGCCTGCCTGCTGAGTGTGGACCAAGGTAAGTTCGAACTAAGGTACTTCGAACTTCAGCTACGTTATTCACGTAGCTGAAGTTCCGTACCTTAGTTCGAATTAGGGGATTAGTGTAGACCTGGCCTTAGTGGGGGGATGTCTGCAGCTTAACTAAAGGCCCGCCCAAAGTCAGCGAATGCTAGCTGAGCTGGAAAGGTTCCATGTTTCTGAAGAGATGTTATGAGCTGAGGGGGAAAGATCCTGGACACCCCAGAAAGCTCTGCCTAGGCCCAAAGAGCTCTCCAGAGTGGTAAGGCATCTGAGACAGGGAAATGCATATAGGTGTGTTCATTATTTTGTATAGATCTGTGTATTTCTCATGCTGTTAAGTAAAGAACAATGGTGTTTTAGAATCCACTCTCAAGGATGTCTGTGTATCTGTTTGTTTTGATTGCTACATTTCTCTGAAGAGGTAAACTGTAAGCCACAAGGCTCAAACCTCTGGAGAGGCTTTGGAAGAGATTTCAAAGTCTAGGCATTTGGCTGTAGGGTCCCCCCTGCCAAGAGGAGCGTAAGACATGAAGTCTTCACCTGGAATATATGCCGAGAGGCCCAAAGCTAGGTACAGGGCTTAAACTCTGCCCACCACCAGCAAGCTAAGGGCACATGGGATTCAGAGCTTGGATCCCCTCACAGCAGTCTGGCAAGTATACAGCAGGAGGAGCATGACCAGATCCGTAACAATAACAAACACATGGCCATAAACAAAATGTATCATTTAGATTTTTTTGGATGAAAAGTTCTATTAAAAAGGATCTTTCCTGCAGAAAATGTCAGTTTTGACAAAAATCCATGTTTCCAGAAGAAAAATATTTCATCTGAATTTTTTGACCAACCTTACTTATAATATTCTCATCACTGTGATATCTGTCTGCAAAGAGATGCAGTTTCTTGCTTCAAAGAGTAAAGTTAGTGGCCTTTCAGAAATGTACAAAGCTGTTAGAAAGTATGTTTTGCTGTCAGTTTTTCCTGTTACAGAAATGGGATTTTCTCACTTCCCAATACAAATGCTAAATGTTCATTTTTGGTGCACCAAAGAGTTAAACACTCTCTCTGTGTCACAAGGAGGTAAACTTTTCTTAATGATTTTACTCTCCTTGCCATTGAAATTCATCTTATCAAGAGATTAGATTTCAGAGATAATCATCAATGAGTTTGCATCAGAATAATCAAGAAAGAAGCATATGCAATTTCCATTTAACCAGTGAATACAAAGGCATTTTCAAAGGTTAAGAAAAATAATATGAAGAAAAGTAGAAGGGATAGGTACAGTATATAAAGTGTCCTAAATTTCTGGTGTAAAGAGAAACTTCAGATGAGATGTAATATCTGAAAAGACCTCAATTTAGCCCTGTCAGAAATCTTTTAAGAAAGCTTCTTCCTGTGAGATTTCCAGCCCCATTTGGTATAAACTCAAGATATTAGTTTAGACAAGCTGTAGACAAGCCCTAAACTCAAAGATTCTTATGTGAACTGAACCTAAATGCTAAATATTTTGAGATTGGCCTAATTCTAATGAAAATAGATGAGATTTTCTGAACCAGACCAGAGCTAGGAATGACTGAAGTTGGGTCTTTCAAGGTGGAGGAATATCTTAAGGAAGCAGAGTACATTTTATCTGGGGGGAAAAAGACAAATGACATCCCTGGAAGTGTTTGAGTTTTAATGACAGACTACAGATGGCTCAGAGTCTTCGGTCAAAAATAAATACTTTTATTTAGTATGTACTGCACAGGAGCTATCCTGGTTTCATAATTCTAACCAAAGGGGGAAATAACCTCATTTGCAAAGCCTGTTCCAGATGCCACCACTTCAGATGCCTTGCAAACTGCTGTCTGCTGCTGGTGCCTCTGTATACCCAGGCGAGTGGACAAAAGGGACCATCTGTATATGCTGGGAAGTGAAAAATCAATTTCTGTGCCCCAAATAAGAAACTACTGTTACAGAAGGTCACTAAACATTACCAGTTATTCACTGACACTCAAGTCCTCAAGGGAGTGTCCAAAAATGAAATGAGTTTCATTTAATATTCTGTAAAACTTCACTGATCTAGGATATCTCTTGAGGGGTATAAGGTAACTCAGGCTTAAAAGCAGGTTATGAATTTTCAAACACTACCTTCAATAAATGTTAGTTCAAGGCAAAAGAAAGATACTATATCTAAAGCTAAAGGAGTATGGCCAATTCAGATGAGAAATCTTTTTGAAAATTGTCCATCTGTATTTAATTGTCCATCTCCCACCTTGTGAGAAGGCTAAGGTAATTGAGAACTGATATTTGAGAATTTGAAAAATAAGTGTAATCTGTGCAAGTTGCTCATACACTTTAGGATTTAGGCAACTATGCTCACATGTAAACACCTCGGGCCTGAATTTTCTCTCTCATACACTGTTTTTTGCACTTCTGTAATTCTTTCGACTTCAGTGGAGTTGTTCCTGAATTACACAACAATAAGTGAGATTGTTGGTTACTTTTACCCTTGTCTCCCTCAGGACTAGAACTCGGCAAATAACTGATTTTTTGGTAAGTTGGTAATTTCAAAAAATCAGGACAAAAATCATTTTGGATCAGACCAAAATAAAAAAAAATGAATTTGTTGGCAAATGAAAAAGTTTGAGAAAAAAAATGGTTTTGGTTGAATACATTCCATTTTGATTTTGAGCATTTTTACATGTTTTTATCATTTTAAAATTAAATTAAAGGAGATTTGAACATGAAAAGTTGTTTTGAACCAGAAAAATCAAAACATTTAATTTTTACATTGTAAATACAAAACATTTTGATTTTTTTAGATTTTTTTGGGTTGATTGGTTGCACTGTTTTTTGTTTGTTTGTTTTTTTAAACAAACAATTTGCGAAACACATTGGTTTTACCAAATCTAAATTTTTCACCATAAAATTTTGGTCAAAATGTTTTGCCTCCTTCTAATCAGGACCCAGTTCCACTATCCTCTCACATGCAGAGCTCAGCTGCAGTGGAGCTCACTGAACGTAAGGCCTGGGAGACTGGGAATTTCACTCTTTGTGAAACAAAGTGCTGCACAACAGATTTCCATCCAAACTATATGTAAAGCATGAGCCTAGAGAACACATCACCAAACTGAGCGTGGCTTGTGTTCAGGGTTTTTTCACATTCTAGGGATCTGATTTAAGACTCATTGAAGTCATTGGAAGCTTTGCCACTTACTTTAGGTGGCTTTGGAACAAACCCTAAATGGTTAAATATTTGTGGGAGCTTCTGGCTATAGATTCACAGCACTTCACTGATAGAATATGAGCAGGTGCACAGTGAATTGGAACTCAGACAGCTACCCATTCTGTGGAGCTGTTTTTCTTACTATAGACACTTGTATGAGGTCTCAAGTTTGATTGAGTGGCATGTTTCTTGATTGGTTTCAGAGTAGCAGCCGTGTTAGTCTGTATCCGCAAAAAGAACAGGATGCATCCGAAGAAGTGGGCTGTAGTCCACGAAAGCTTATGCTCTAATAAATTTGTTAGTCTCTAAGGTGCCACAAGTACTCATGTTTCTTGATTGAGCACTTAACTGTATATTTTATGCCTTAAATTGTCCATGATCTTCAATGTGACATTTAAACTAAACCTACCATTTGGATTCACTGTTCGGTTAATGCTACATTGTGACTATTGTATTTGGCATTGATTAGTATTTTGTCCACAAAGTATCTCTTCCTATCCCTATGTAATACAAATTTTGCTTCAGGGCATCATCAACTCACAACAAGCATAAAAGGGAAGTGGTTTAGTTCTTCTGACAAAGTTTATTCTTATATTCCTTCTGTTCTGATAACTATTTGCCACTTGAGATGTTGAGTGACATTCCTTCTGTCCTCTGTCCAGCAGCATTATTTCTGATGTAGCCATAGAAATGAGAGAATATTACTGCAGTTATTTTCCACTGAATATCTTTAGCATTTGCTTCAGTCTAATCTGAACTATCCCAAGTGATGGTGTTTCCAGCTAAGATGAAAAAATGAGGCACAGATATGAATGCAATATTCAGAGTGCAGTTTTACCAGAGGGATTACCACCTTCTTGTTACAATTTGATGCCTTAGAAATTTGACGTGCCTGTTTTGTTGCCATATTGCTTTGCAAAGTCATATCTAATTTGTTGTCCATGAGCAACCTAAAATCTCTTTTGGCATGATAGCTTTCCATGTTACTCCCTTTCATGGAGTAACTGAACAACTAAATAGATATTCAGAAAACTTCTGTTAGGCTTCAAGGAACCTTAGTTTATATGTTGGGTTCTTTCCTAAAATATAGTATTTCTAAGTCAAATCTTTAACTATTTCCAATATGTGTACACACATTATGATTTGTTGTATTGTGGTTTCAGACCATGAGTGTTTTCCTTCTCCGTCTAGAAAGAGCTCTGTATATAATTATTAATATGTTTCTTAAAAAGGGGACCCTGAACGGAATGCATTTTCCCTTGTTAACATGGATACAAATAATTTTAACAAATATCAAAAGATGATAAAAATCTTCCCAGGCTCAATATTTTCCACTTAAGCCCTAATTACAAATATCACTATTAAAAATACATATTTTATCTATGTTATAGAAATCTCCAAAGGAGGGGAATAATAGCTCCTGCTCTGCTGCTGGCTTTTTCAAAATTTCCTGAACAAGAAAGTCAAGATATTTCCCAAGCATCTGAAAGAATGGAAACTTCAACACAAGTGCTGGAAAAAAAAGTTCACCAGAAGCAGAAACGCTCACTGCATCCAAGTGGTAAATACAACACACAGGCAGAAATCCCTGTTGATAGTTTGAGGGTTATCTCCTAGATTGAAAATGTGTTGAGTTCATTTTTATTTTATGCAGGCAGGAGTACTAATCATACCTACACCAGGACATGCTGTTCAGTTCTTAAAAGCATCTTACAAAATAATTACCTCTATTGTGTTTTATTTCTGATTGTACTACTATGGTTCTTGAGTAGCTAAACAGTAGCATTTAGCCATTAGTATCCTATGCAATCATACACATGCACTTGTATTGTCTACAAATCATCTCACAAATATACTGAATGTCCTGTGTGTTTTGTTGAGCTTCTTAGGTCGGAGGCTTTGGTCCTTCTGGAGCCTGAGGTTGGCAGACACAGAAGGGTACCGTTTGTATCTTTTTCCTCTGGGGCACTGAGTTCCTGAAATGCATTTCCTCCAGACATGGAAGGACTTTTTACTTTTCATGGTGCATCAATTTTATGCATTTTATATGCTATTATCCTTGTTGCTACTTTTACTGTGTTTTATGTAATGCACTGGAAAGTTCAAAGTTGGAGAGTTGTCTAAGTAATACAACATTATTATTAATATTTTATTTTAAGATGGGCCAAACCAACCCCCCTGGCATTTGGTATGTTTGAAATTCAGACCTAGATCCAAATATGTCATGACTTAATACCATCTCTATAAATAATAACATTGCAATAATATCTATTTTCTTTCTTAGTATTATAAATGCACCTTTTTTATCGTTCAAGAGATGGAAGACATAGACTGTTGCAAACAAACATCAAGTACTACAGTTATCCCTCTCTTATTCCCTTATTGGGAAATTCATGCCATACACATAAACTCAGGGCTTGTCTACGCTATCCCACAGTTCAGAATATGGAGATATGAATAGCAGTGCACACTGAAGTGCTATGCTGTAATTCCCTCCTGTGGAATGCACAAGCCCACCTCCTGACCCGATTGGCTTTGAGATCCTTAGCTCCAGGCCAGATCTCAACATCTGCATTGCTATTTGTGGCATGCTAGCTGGAGCCCTGCTAGCTTGAGTCTGCCTGCCTGGGCTGTGAGGCTCGCTCCCAGTAGACATACTCACACAGGCCCCAAGAAGGAGGGCTGTGAAGTCCCCAGACTTGAAGGCAGAGTTTAGAGGCCAGGGAGGACAGGGATAAGAAGCACATAGCCCTGAGAAAGGGGGCTGTGAAATTGTGAAACTAAAAGGAGGTTAACCCAAATGAAGTGGCCCCAAGAGAGGAGGAATCTTGTTCTTAAAGACTCTGGATGTAGGTGTATTATTCTCAGGACTCAGAGGAAAAACTGAGGCAGGGTGTCTGCAGGGCCATCCAAGGTCACAAGGTGGCACTCTGGGACAGCACGTACCCACATGCTGCCTGATGGTGTCTAGATTCCAGCTTCTCCCCACCCCCCAACATTCTAATTCATTAATTATGTGTCCTCTCCACCCCCACGTATGTCCATTCTCCAGCCCATCAATTAATAATTCACTTTCCTAGCTCCGGTATCAATTCTACCCATCCAGCGCCACATCTGCCCTGAGCCCCCAGTATCACCATTGATGCTCGTTCAGTTTTAAGGGTTCTTCACCCCTCTTTCCCCAGCCTGGGGGATGGGCAGGTGCATCAGCGTCCTCTTCACCCCTCTCCCCATTCCCAGGACTCATGTGAGAAGAGGGGGGAGAGCAGACTGACCCAGGAGGGAAAGAGGGGGGGCAGGATCAGAGCCACCTTGAGCTGTTGGACTCTTTCTGCACCCTCCTCTCCATCTCCATCTCTTGTTGGATGGTGTTGGATGCTTCTACTCTCCCTCCCCTCCCCAAAACCTTTTTTTGGCTTCTGAGGGGAAAGGAGTAAAGCTGTGCCTGCTTCCTGCAGCCGCAATTATTGGCTGCCTTCCCTTTCCCCACCTCTTGCAGAAGAGCAGCCAGTCTCCAGCAGATCTGAAATTCATATGAGGATTGGAGTTTCTTGCTTTACCCTGAGGCTGGCTCCAAAAGGGGTTGAAATCACATGACTCACAATGAACACTGATGGCCACTGGGCTCCATCTCTTGCCTGTAGCTTCTTCAGTGCAGAGGCATGGCTCTTGTTACATATGGACGGGGTGTGGCTGCAGAGACCACAGGTCATGCTCCACCTCAGAGGGTGGGGCTCTGGCATCAGGGAGTTGTAGGCCGTGGTCACTGTTGTGTTGGCATGGCATTATGTTTCAATAAAGGAATGCAGTTGTTAATGACAAGCTTTCCATGCCTTCATAAAGAGAGCACCACACTCTTAAAGTGCAATGTTAGCTCCTTTCTGTATTTAGGTCAGCTCACCTGTAACTATATTGGCCCTAATTTTTCACTAACTTTTTGGGTTCTTTCCTTTTTGTTTGTCATATGCCCAGTTCACTTTAGATATTGTTATAAGTTTTATGCAGCTTCTCAGATCCCGGAAACTACAGGAATTTGTAACTAATTCAATTAATAATTTAACCAGTTCTAATAAAACTGCCCAGATCTAGTACCTAATAAATACTATATACCTTTTCATCTAGCCAGGGAGCAGAAATAATTCTATGTATCTAGATGTTCAGGGATATATATGTATCAGGAAAGACGAATAGCTAAAATGGCCTTATTCGTATAAACTACACGGTGAATTACTTGTGAATAACAAATACATTAGCAGAAATGATGGGGATAACAGCTGACTAATGTTAATTTTTGTAATGGATTCTACTGTAACAGATACAACATTATTCTTTAACAAATAGAGCAAACAAACGGGTCATGTTGGGTTGGCTGTTTTGTTTTGTTTTCCAGATCTTTTATCAACTGATTTGCTCAGCATGATTGCCAATATTTCTGGATGCCTGCCTTACATGCTGCCACCAAAATGTCCAAATAATTGCCTAGCCAATAAATACCGCCTCATCACTGGTGCCTGCAATAACAGGTATGTAACTTGTGTTGTTTTAGGACACAATTCTCTTCCTGTTACTCATAAAAATATGTTTTTTGACACAGAAGAAAATGAAATGGTTACTTGATTTCATGTTAGATTAAAGAAAACAATGAAGAAAGAAAAAACACTATAATATCTCCACGAGAAAAGAAAGAAAACAGTATCTCCACTATTCAGTTTTTCTCATAGCTGTTCCCTAGCAGATAGACATCAAAGGTACAGTACAGATTTCTTACATGCAAACCACAAAGTGGTGTTAAAATGCTTGTGCATCAGAGCCTTGGTTGGCTGAAGGTTTTGGGACACATTCAGAACATTCAGTTGAACACAGTTTTGGATGAGGGAGAGGTCATCTTTGTATAATCTTTGCTTTGAGCCTCAGAGCACAGTACAGAGATTACCAGCCTGCCCCAAAATGGCTTACCCACAGTGAAAAGTTTCCTACATCTGGCGTTCAGTGAAGGGAATGCTGCCTGGCTTCCTAGACTGGTCAGCTTTTAAAGGGCCAGGAGCTTTACTGTGTCTGTGGAAATAACCAACGTTTGGCTAACCAGGATGTTTGGTGAACGGAATTTCAGTTAAATAGTATTGTATCATATTTTAATAATTTGACCCCCCAAAAATGATATATTGACTAGGCCTCTGTGAATTTCAAGAGCATAAACTCTTCAACAAGGCATTAAATCCCAGAATTCATATTTGCTAATATCTGGGTCTGCTACAGTGGGACTTTTCTTCCTGTCAAAGTTTTTATTTATAGCTCCTTCTCCTTAAAGGGCTTATTAACAAGAGCTTGCTTTTTTATTGATGAGGCCATTAGAAAAATTATGGCTGTGATGAACTTGCAGCTTTCACTATTCACGTGGCTCAGAAATAAATGTATTAACATTGCTGCTGGTTCAATTTAGTCTCCACAAACACTGAACTGCTCTCATGTCACGACACACTTCCTAACTGCATTTGATTGCTTACTTCTTATGGTAAGAAGAACAAAGATTTTCCAAAGTGCTAACTCAAGTTATCCAGCCAGAAGTTTTAAATAGCGAGAGGGATTTTACTTCAGAAGAATCACCCTGATTTGATTTGCAATGAAACTGGGGTGGGGGTAGAGATAAGTGGGGAGGGGGGAGGGGTGTTCCTTAGCTATCAAAGGGATTTGTGCCAAACTGAAAATTCCAAACAAAGAATTAACCTTGGTTTAAAAAAAATGGTTTTATTATGGAATCAGTCAGTTTTGCCACATTTTTGCAAATGATCTTAAAGAGAGTTGTGTGGCAAGCTCTCTGATAAAAGTTGTGTAAAAGACCATCCTCAAATGCATCTACAACATAAGATCAAATATGTGTGTCAGTTGATCCCACGAGAGGCCTATAGAATTGTTTAACATCTGAGATAGTACTTAATATTATAGTTGCAATTGATAACTCATTTAGTTTGGACACAGTGAGACTGACTCTCCACTATCTTGAACTTTGTGTAGTCATTTGCACACATACAAAGTGAGTATAAAATGCTACCATTCCTATTTAGTAATGTTTCACAGCCACTTGGCACTAATCAACTACCAAAAAAAAAAAAAAGACCAGGCTGTGGAGAGTAAGGCTTTTAAAAGCATTGGGTCTCATGCGGTGTAAATCAGTGTGGCTCCATTGAAATACATTGAGCTGTGTTCATGTATGGCAACTGAGGATCAAGCCCATTGCATTACAATGTAAACAAGCTTCAAAGGTCTCAAAACACAAAAGTAAAAAAAAAAAGAGTGTGAATTTTATACAGGTATCTAATTTTTCCTAGCTCTACAGTTGCCTCTTTTGGGTTGATGATGTATCAGAATCATGTCAGTCCAGTCACCCATTAGTAGAATGCAATTCAGTCTTAGGTCAGTAAGTCAGAATAGCATTGCATGGTAATTTCAGTTTGGAACAGCTGTTGACTTGTAAGAGGAATCTAGTTAAGATGTACTTAAAAAGCAAACAGCAAATTACTTCGATTGTAGCTGTGCGTTTGATTAATTTATCTGAAATATGTACAGTATGTATATTTGGGGCAAATAGCTTGGTTTATGGACTGTTTTCTGAGCAACATTGAGATAACTTTATTTCACTGTGAAATCCTTCAAGCAAATGCATAATGTAGTAGGATTAAATGTCAGGTTTCAGAATAGCAGCCGTGTTAGTCTGTATCCGCAAAAAGAACAGGAGTACTTGTGGCACCTTAGAGACTAACAAATTTATTAGAGCATAAGCTTTCGTGGGCTACAGCCCACTTCTTTGGATGCATATAGAATGGAACATATATTGAGGAGATATATATACACACATACGGAGAGCATGAACAGGTGGGAGTTGTCTTACCAACTCTGAGAGGCCAATTAAGTAAGAGGAAAAAAAAACTTTTGAAGTGATAATCAAGATAGCCCAGTACAGACAGTTTGATAAGAAGTGTGAGAATACTAGGATTAAATGTAGGCTTGTGTGGCATCAGCCATTCCCAAATGTAGCATTGGCTACCCAAATAGATATTAACAGATTTAATGTCCTTAGCTTTGCTGTCCAAAAGTATGTGATGGGATAACTTATTGGGGCAGACTTATTTTTTAATAGAGGGCATTGGGAGGAAAGGCATGTCTGAGCAATTATTTAGCTTTGTCTTGGTCCTCAGCTAAGTGGCATTGATCTGAGTACTTTGTATTGTTTAGAGAAATGGAAGGGATTTCGAAGATTAAGGCATTCCAGTTATGTTAGGAACAGGGAAGGATGGCTTAGTTGTTTATGCTTCATGGGACAGATACTCAACTGGTATAATACAGTTTAGCTCAATTGATTTTAGTGGAGCTACATCATTTTACACTATCTTAGAATCTGACTCCTGTTCTGAAACCCCTGAAGCTATTGATTCAAAACTTGCCATATTATGTTTAGCCCTTTCCTTTTCCAAGGTAGATACATGAGTACTGCACCAGGGAGTTTACCATCTTGAATGAGATCTCATATTCCATGCTTTCATTGGATACTTCAGAGATTCTTTGCACTTTTTATATGAGCAGCATTTTGCTGAAGCATTGTTGGCCTGCACCTCCACTTTTCCCATTGTTCTGCAGTGCACTAGTTGATAGTAGAGAGTGTTGCATTATCGGAAGATGTTGTTATCTCAAGGAAATTATTTTCAAAAAAGAGATTAGAACTTTCAAAGGCATCTGGGAGTTATAAACTCCAGCAAAAGTTAAATTTCAGTTAGGTGAATAATGTATATAAACTGTTTAGAAAACGGTTCTTTTTGAAAATCATCACAAGCTCCATAATGCTTTTTTTTTTCCTAGCTGAAAAGATGTCTTTAACTCCCCTGTATGTGTTGGGGACTGGGAGAATATCTCAGTCACATTTTTATTCTGCTATAATCAGTTTGAGTAGATTTTGAACTTTTCACTCAAGTGTAACTCAAACAGGAAATCAGAATTTCTGTTTCAAATGTTTAAAAATAGCAGCTATGTAATTATATTGGCAGCTGATGCATGTGGAGTAAAAGGGCTGGCCATTCCCAAGGGCATCATGTGTAAATCTGATAAAATAATTTGTTTTCTAGCTCTAAAATCTAGTTATTACAGAAATGAGTAGTTAGGTTATTGTCTTTAACCAACAAAAGAATTTAATTATATAATTCTCATTCTTGCATCCTTATGGCCATTTATTCAAGTGCCTTTTTATGTAATAACAAAGGATCCATGCTTGCAGCTAATTCTTTGTGCATCTCCCGAGTTGTGTCCCTGACATCTCAGAAAGATATGAAAAAAAGAGTCCCAGTAAAGTATTATATAATCATACCACATTAATTCAAATATTTCCTTTCTACATATTGATTCCAAAACCAGGCACACTAAAAAAAATTGCATTCAAAAGATATAAATCCAGGTAATAAACTGCATCTTAAAACTTCAGGTCCCTTCTAAGGCACAACAAAACAAATTTTGAGCTATCCAAAAATGTGTAATGCCAGTATGAGTGAGTGAAAAATCTCCACTTGACACAGAAGGAATTATATTTGATTACATCATAGGGATCTGTGAAACAGTAATCCTCTATTTTCAACTGCCTGGGGCTAAATCCAGCTCACTTTATTCATGCAGAATTCCATGGACTTCAGGGGGAGTTTTGCTTGAATAATATAAACTGGATTCATCTCTGGATCTTTTTCACAGGGTCTTTTCTTTCCACATTTTGATCATAAATTGCCTTTTAAATAATTTTTCCAATGTGCTCAGTTTTGAAACAGCAGGTACTATTAAAATAAATAGAAGTATAATATATGAATGCAGAGAATAGAGCAGGAATCCACAAATATAGAATCAAGTGTATTTGTTAAACTACACAGGCTTGATACACTGTTTAAGATGACATTAATTCCATCATTACATAATAATAAGAAGCATCTGAAAGGGATTTTACTGCAGTAACATTCTAGTGAGCTGGTAAAATATAAAAGCAATCAGGAGAAAAATCACTGGTTAAGCAGTTAAATTAACATTTCATTATTTTTAATTGAGTGGAATAGCACTAACACTATGTGCAGTACTTTATGCAATTTCAATAAAGACAAATCAACTGTAACTAATTTGAATGCTTTATTAAGGCACATTTCAACCTTCCAGTGTGAATTATTGCAGTTAATTAAGTTTATTACTGTCCCATATAGCTTTGCAAATTGAGCCACTTTGGTATGTTGAAGATCAGTGGAGTATTAATAAAATAATTGTTCCCCATTTAGTATCTCCATGGACATATAAATGTATGTGTAACACCCTGTAGTTCCACTTTCTGTCTCTGAACATTCCTAGTTCTTTGTGGCTGAGCCTTAGAATATCAGAGTAAACCTAATAAGCTTTTAATATTTTATCTCTGCTTTTGAATATTGTGTGTATTTAGCAAGTTATGAAATGTACTAGATTGAGCATCCTAGACACCTACTGCCTTTTGCTACAGAACTGCACCAACTTTCTCATGGTGCCCCACGAATGTGCCTCAACCCTACCCTGAGATTACCACCTCTGTGGTGACAGGGAAATTCAATTTCAATGCCTATTTTGTCCCTGGCTTTCAGGGATGCCAGTTGATCTGGACTGAGAGTGCTGAACTAATTTCACATGTGCCATTTCAGCATCATGAGATGTTCTGAAGCTGCAAAACATGAATCTGAATTTTAAACATCACAGTTTGGGGTGGGGGGCAGTTTAGGGGATTTTAGATTAGTTCATTGTAAAAATAGGGACTGTTTACAGAATTAAGATCCAGAGTCACCAAAAATTCTGAGGATTTGATTTGGGTCTGTCTCTGCTTCTGACCTGCTTATTTTGAGCTCAGTTGCCAATTTATTGATCCACTAGTCTCACATCCTTTCTCCAATGTAAAGTATTTTGAATTTAAATGATAGGTAGATTAGATATGTTTATGATGGAAGGAGGACTGCCTGGGTCCAGTCCAGGCCTCAGTGGGGTTTTTGTCATTGACTTCATTGGAGCCAGGATTTCATCTTACATTTCTTCACTCCCAGTCATGATCCCTACTCCCTAAGATGTGTTGCCTCCCTACATCCTCACCAACCCACTGATCATTTCTCTTCCCTCCAGCCTCACTCTTCCCTGCCCTAACTCCCAATTCCCAGCTCTAAACAAGAGCACTTGATGAAGGCCAGCAAGAGCCGTAACGTTTCTTTCCCTTTTTTTCCTAATGAATGAGTACACAGTCTCGAAGTCCTTATGTGGGCAAAGCACCCATAGATTTTTAAAGGATAGTAGCCTAAGCTAGTAACATAAGTTAAGGCCCTGAAAAAAATTATTTTAATAAATAAAGACTTTTTAGCCCTTCCTTTTAGTCAAGTTGGCTTCGGTATACCTTGGTGTCTTTTCAGAGATCTTTTTAATAAATAGCATAGTATCAGGAAACACACCAATATCTGATGAATATTTTAAAATAAAAACTGTTGGAAAAAAACATTTTATTTCCCCAGGGAACATCCTAGATGGGGAGCTTCCAACACTGCTCTGGCTAGATGGCTCCCCCCAGCTTATGAAGATGGAATCAGCCAGCCCAAAGGATGGAATCCCAACTTCTTCTTTAATGGATCTCAACTGCCATTGGTTAGAACACCATGGAATCATTTGAAACACTTGCATTGGGCTACGTGCATGCCTGGGACTGTAAAATATCTTTTTAATCAGTGAAGTCAAACTGCAGATGAATATGGTTCATTAGCACTTATGTCGACAAAACTTTTCTGAAAAAAACACCCCCCTAAATGACATAAGATTTGCCAGCATAAGCACTCGTGTGCACAGCGCTATGTTGGTGGGAGACACTCTTCCGCCAACATAGCTACCGCTGCTTGTTGAGCTGGTTTTATTCCGTCGACAGGAGAGCTCTCTCCTATCAACATAACATGGCTATATGAACAATCTTACAGCTGTGCCACTGTAAGCTTGTAAGTGTAGACATGGGCTAAATTTTAGAATGGTGTGTTTTAATTAAGCATATATTCAGGAATCCAATTACTGAGTCCTCTCTTTTTACTCAAACCTTACTTTCATGACTTCAGTTGGAGTTTCTTTGAGTAAGGCTTTGGGCCATTATTAGATATTTAATTAGTACCTGAAGTCTAGGCATGGATTTGATATTTAAGAAAGAAGGCAAAGTCTTGGCAATTAAAATTTTAATACATATTCCAATAACTGCATCACAGTAGTGTATTCGGCATTTTATATCACCAGCACTTGGTCTGAAAATAGATTGGTAATGGTCTAGATTGAATAGCTACTGAACTGAAATTTGCTCTGAGGTACTGCCAAACCAGATTTTCATGCAGTGCTTGTTTTATAAGAGTCTGTACTTGAGAACTGTGGAGAGAGTTGGCCTATAAAGTGGCCAGTGGAAAATCCTACTCTATGTATATTTACAATTGTGTGGTCTTTTTAATGAACTTGGTGGCTGAGGTAAACAGAGAGCCATTTACTCTGCAGCTGTGATAGGAACCTTTGAAAAAGAAATCATTAGTTCACTGTAAGGAGAATATTACATGCACAGTAGTTACATAAGGCAGCTTCTGGGTGACAACATAAATGGGAAATGTACTGCAGGTAAATATATTGTTCATTTATATACAGCAATACAATTTCTTTGCACATTAAGATAACACAATTGCACAAATATTACCAACATACTGTAATTTCATCTATTATGTAATTCAAACTACTAATGTAAGGAACCACTGCGATATTACTTGATGGATTTTGGCACAGCAAATTGTTATAATACAGAAGAGATGGCAATAGTGAAAGGTCTGAACCAAAACATTTATATTTGAAACTGAATGCAAACTTCCCTATGTTCAGTGGAGAGGGTTGGATCTGGTGTGTCTGGTTCAGGCTCATCTCAAATTGTCAGATTTACCCTTACTGCATTGACTCAGAAACCACAGTCTTTTGTTGTGTTCACAGTCTTGTCATTTTACCCTTCACATATTTAATAATGATGGGAGACAGATTTTAGTGTTCATGTCACTTTCAAGTCCTTTTACAAATTAAATGATATCATAACTTTAAGCAGTACGATGTGGGGTTTATAGATGAAAAACTGACATTTGAATGAGAAATTTTACAGTGGATGTTATCAATTGCACATATTTCCAGGTTCATTAAGTCTTGTGCTAATGGAGTGAAACGCATTAAAACAAAGCTTGTACTATTGCATGGAATCTGACATATATTCAGCATAACACCAACAAGCTTCCCTCCCCTTTATGTTTAGCTACACTTTAAAATACCATACAATATACGAATATGAAATTAGTGCCATGTAAAAAAATATCGATTTTCTATGCTTTTTTTTTGTGCAGATTTCAGTAATTTGTGTTCTTTTATTTATTATAAGTTACTCTTTAACAGCAAAACATGCAGAGTCAAGGTAAGGGATAAATATTAGAATTATCCTAAGACAGAATATTAGAAGACAGTGTAGCTCAACGCCATCTCCATGGTCATTTACAATGCAGAGTTATAGTGATATGAAAACCTTTGTCCGTAAATTACAGTGAACCACAGATGGCCTCTGTGCTCCTGTGAGTAAGTTATTCCCATGTGGGAGTCTGGAAATGCCTCCAATGTGCACTTTCAATGAATTCTCCTCCATTCCTGTGTTGTGGGGTAGAGTTTCCCACCAACTTGCAATCCTGCAAAACAGCTGGGGTTTTGGGCCACAGACCCCCCCACCATCTGCACAGAGGGTGTGTGCCACTGTACTCTCTCCCTACCTACTATTTCTGTGCAGTTCTCTCAGCAGTATGACTCAGCAGGCTGCTGTCCATGAGAGGATCTTTCACAGCCCCAAAGAGAAATCTGTGAAAGATAATGTTGGCTCAGTCAGCATTAACTTGTATTGGTTTGCCCTGATGGTTTTGGTTGGGTGAGGAGGCAACTATGCCATATTGAGTAAGCATCCTCTCATGTAAATCTCTCAGAAGGGCTTCTGCAGAGTTGAGATAAGGAGCACGTTGAGGAGTTGGCTATCCCCAACAGCCAGATTCACTGGGTCTTGACTTCCTTCTGCCTGGGAATATTCAGTGGAACATTTGGATCTCTGTTTGGTACCTAAAATGCTGTGTATGTGAATAGCTTGTATGGCATGGAGCAGCGTGAAGCCCCAGTAACTGCACTAATCGGAGGCTGCCCTGCTAACACTGCACCTTTGTTAAAAGACTAGAAAACAGAACAAATAGAATGAAAACTTTTTAGACATTGTAAAAGAAAACATGTGAGATTCAAAAGACTCAGAAAAGAAACTGATCAGAGATGTGCTACTCATTTGGTAACTACACAGAAAAACTCAGCTGAAATATCTTTGAACCTGCTTTGTGGTACTGACATCTCAGCTTTTGAACAGGAATATCATACTGTCAGTGTCTTTTTAAAACAAGCCATTAGAAGTACTCCACAACATAAAATATCCTGGCAAAAGTGATAGCTTTTATCACTACTTCCTCTGCCTTTTTAGTGTTTTATCCATAAGTGAAAGGTAAATAATATTTGGCATACCAGATAAATTAGCTCTTTCTTTCCTAGGTTCGTGAAGTGACAAGAAAAATTATTCATGCATCTAATGAGGCTGTTACGGAAGACAATCTATATTCTGATATCATTATGGTGTGGGGACAATACATAAGTCATGACATTTCATTCACACCTCAGAGCACAAACAGAGCTGCCTTTCTAAGAGGAGTAGAATGCAAGATGACATGTGAAAACCAAAAATCATGTTTTCCAATAAAGGTATGATTTAAAATCCATTTGTTCAAGAGAAGCACTAGTTGGCAAACAGGTAAAGTAGATTGTGAGAAAATGGTCAAGGGATTTGACAGATCATTCAGAAATAACAAAGCAAAAAATAATAGAATATTTGCAATCCAACATCATTAATTAATGATGCAGGAAGGCAGATATATAAAAAGATATATAGAGAGAGAATCCTATATTCATCTCCACATATAGGTAGATAAAAGTAGGATATCAAAGATATTTAGTACAAATATAATGATTTTTAGCTATGGGGTTTATGTTGTAGAGAATTCATCTTATCAGGCAAGAAAAAATGTTGTTACTATTTTCAAGTATCAAGGTTTTGAATTCCAGTGAGGAAAGTAGGAAAATAGTCATAAATAATTCTCTTTTTAAACTGTTACTCAGCTAACGTGCAGTAATTTTACCCTGGGAAGGCAAGGATATTTCCATCAGCTAATACAAACTTTTGAAAGGAGGTGTGTTCTAACTATGTGGCTAAAATGATCTTCAGAGTTTTGCAGAAACTTACATACATGGGGGTCATTGCTTTTGAGAAGATGGAAAAAGTTGGACTTCAGGAGCTAGTTATTTCCTAGTAGGGAAAGAAATGAGCTGGCATAGATACACAATTCTGTACCATGCCTGATGAATTTATAAGTAAGATAATTCTTTCATGCAGATGATAGGTAGCAAACTCGAAATACAGCTTGAAACTCACTAATGTACTGTCATGGAGCCTTACAATTCTACCTGCTGTCCCGCAAGGATTTTCCCACTCCCACCCACCCCACTTTATGAATAACACTGAGTTGTACACACACACACACACACACACCACCCCCAGAGCTTCAGTAAAGAATTTCATGTTCAAACGCTAAAACCGGACTTCAATCCTGTAACTGCTTCTACTCTGAAGGCACTGCTTCCACTCCTGTACAGAGCTTCCTTGTGATAAATTATGGATTCCCCCAAGACACAAGACTTGGTTATCTATTGCCCTGCACCTTCTGCAGTTTTTTATGCTATTGCAAAGTAGCCCACTTTGCATTCATCTACCACTTGCATAAATGACTACATGGTGCAGGGCAATGGATGATCAGATCCATAGCCTTCTGAGTAGCAAATGAGGCTGTTGGGGAGATCATGGAGGGAGTTTTAGACTGTTCAGATGTTGAAAATAAGTTTTAGATGAATATCCTAACTTTTGGATTCTTTTCTTGACTAAGCTAATGTCATCTGAACCTTTAAATCTGTTGAGGTTTGCCCACCTCTATTCTTCATTGTTTTTTTGATTAATCCAAACCAATGACAGTGATATTTATTGTAACGATATCTGGAAGCAGTTTGAATATTTTACTCATTCTATTGACTAGTTAGGCCTCTCAGTTGTGATGTGCTTCTTGTCTGGCAGTTCCTTTCCATTAGCATGAGGTAGATGCAGTAGAACAGCAATCATCTTGAGCAGAGTCTCCCATCCACCCCCGATTTTCTTTTTTAATTTCTCAGGTAAGAGGCTCCTAAGAGATGTGTCCTTATCATCTTGAATCTGTTTCTTCTTGTTAATTGTACTCCTAAGCATTACTTGACATTTTCACCTGCCAAGACATATCAAACATGCCATGACACGTCTCCTGGGAAGTTAGAAAACTGTGCATTTTGAAAATTTCAAATGAAGATGGTTCATTTTTCTAATGGACCCTGTTATGTGCAGAGTGTTTATAACCTGAGTTTTACTTTCTTACAAAGTTTAAAAGACTTTGAGGGCAGTAGCTGACATTTCCTTAGAACAAAAAGGCACATTAATTAAGCAATTTTGAAGCTCTCCTTTTATAACATGTAAGTACATCCATATCCATTAGATTTCTCGGATCTAATACCAGTTTAAACAGGGCAGATGAAGATGGATGTACTTCTGCTTCTGAGTTATATGCCAAGTACTTTCCATGCACTTTTGTCAAGGCAATAGGAAACATTACACAAAGCAGTTCTTTACTGTGACCAGATGAAGCATTTTTCTAACTTTGAAAAAGGAGCTAATAAAATTTCCCTCAAGAATCAGCTTTCTCCTGAAAGCTAAACTAGTTTTTTTTTCCATTTTGAAAAGCAAAAGAAAAGGAAAAAAAAACACACATAACGAACTGTCACATTCTGAGGTACAGTCCAGACCAGTGATGGGTTGTGTCACTGTTTGTTCATAACCTTGGGAGCCTCACAATGCTTTGCTGTTATAACTCCCAACCTGAGCTGCTCCCAACCAGCCTACCAGGATACCCTCAGTGTCTGTGTACTAGACATCCCTGGTTCAGAAGCTCTGACCCCAGAAGCCTGTCTACAGCCTGACCCCAGCAGCCTTTGTTACTTTGGGCAGGGTGAGCCCAACACAATCCCAATTCCAAATTTTCCCGAAACGATGTGCTATGTCCAGCCCTCTCCTGGAAAGTACAGAGAAATAATATGGGATTTTTTTGTTCCTTTAAAGACACAAAAGCACATCACAGTTATTTACTTAACTAGGGGTAAATATAACCTTCCCTTTAAACAGAGCACTGAGTTGGTTTATGGTAAAATTGAATAAATTTATTAACGAAATATAAATAGGATTAAGTGAGTTCAAGCTTAAGGAATGAAGATAGAAAAGGTTACAAGTAAAACAAAACAAAATATGGTTCTAAAGGTCAAAAAGTTAATCTAGCAAGATACAGGCTTTGTTCAAGATGTTTTTCTCACCCGTCCTTCTTCTTTCCAGCATTGGCTGACTTCCCCTCAGTCAGGACTTTTCACAAAAGTACAAGGTTTTGGCTTTCCTTGTCTTCCTAGGTGAAACAGTTTTGCCTAAGCAGGGTTTTCACCCTGTTGATTGAAGGACCATCTTTCTCAGCTTTCTCTGTTCCCTAGTGATGGATGTCAAAGACAGGGCCAGCTCTAGGCACCAGCAAAGCAAGCAGTTGCTTTGGGCGACAGATTTGCAAGGGGCGCAAGAAGCCAGCATGGGAGCTGAGAACCAACAGGGGGCCCTGGGAGCTGTAGTTCCTTGGTTAGCTCCCTGCCTATAGAGCCAGCCTTGGAGCAGGGAAAGAACTACATTTCCCAGCATTCCCTTGGCCACTAGCAACAGGAAAGGGCGGGGGAAGGAGTATAGAACTGAAATCGGCAGCTTGCTGTGAATGGTAGGGACAGAGCCAGCTCTAGGTTTTTTGCCGCCCCCCACCTCAGCCCTGGGCTCCCCCCGCACCCCTGTATTGCCCCAGCCCTGGACTCTCCCCTGCCACCCCAGCTCTGGCCCCCACCTGCACCCTCCTGCTGCCCCAGCCCTGGGCTCTTCCTTCCCACCCGCACCTCCTGCCGTCCCAGCCCTGGGCTCTCCCCCAAAGAAGGAATTGGGGGAACTAACTGGATGGTGCACCTCTCTATCTGAAGCCTAGCAAGGGAGGTATGTGGATCCCACTAGAATTTAAAATGAAAAGTATGGGAGGGGAGGCTCTACTAGACTGGGCAGCTTTAGATACAGTACCAGGCATGTAGAAGGATTTACACTTCTGAGCCATGGAATCAGAAATTGACTTTTCCTTTCCAGATTTAGCTAATATTCAGAA